ACCGTGTGTTTACAAGAAGACAAGTGGGAGCGCTATCGTATTCCTGATTTTATATGTTGATGACATATATTTTATGGGAAACGACATCCCAATGCTTCAATCAGTAAAATTGTGGTTGTCAAAGAATTTCTCCATGAAAGACATGGGAGAAACAGCTTATATCTTGAGAATTAGATTTATAGAGATAGATCTAAAAGATTGCTTGGCTTATCTTAGTATTCATAGATAGATAAAATCTTAAGAAGGTTTAACATGAACATCTCTATCTGACATAATGGTTTTAGAAAGACCATATAATTTGACAATTTCATTAAAGTATAACCTGGCAACCTTGGACGCTTCAGAGATTTTACTACAAAGGATAAAATGAGTCATTTTTGAAAAACGATCAACTACCACAAAAATTGAATCATGCTTCTTCAAGGTATGTGGTAATCCTAGCATAAAATCCATACTCACGTCTTACCAAATGCAATTAGGAACTGGAAGAGGTATGTACATACTAGTGTTTTGCCTCTTCTGTTTGCCTAACTGACAGTGTTACATGTACTAACTATCTTAGCCACATCTTTCTTTGGATCAAGACAATAGAATTGATGTTCAATTTCCCTTATGGTCTTATCACGCCCAAAGTGATTGACCAATCCCTCCGTATGAATTTTCCATACTAAAAAGTCCCACACTGAAGTTAGAGGGATGCACAATTTATTGGCTCAAAAAAGGTAACCCTCATCAAGGTGAAACCCATCCGAAGTATCTGACCGTCCACCTTACAAATCAAGAAAGATATTCTTAAAATCATGACATGTCTGGTAATCTTCCTTAAGTCACTCAAAACCTATGACCTTAACGCTCATAATCGACAATAGGGAGATACGACTTAATGCATCAACTGCCCGGTTCTCAACACCCTTTTTATGTTTCAAAACATAAGAATAGGCCTGCAAATATTTAATCTAGCGACCATGCCTAGAATTCAACCTTTTCTGGGCGGTGAGATGATGGAGGGTCTCATGGTCCGAATAAAGCACAAACTCTTGGTTAGCAAATAATGGGGCCAATAGTGCAAAGCATGTACAACTGCATACAATTCCTTATCGTAAGTCGAGTACCGTTGTTTAACATCGTTCAACTTCTCACTGAAATAAGCGATAGGGTGGCATTCCTGACTAAGGAATCACTTATTCCTACCATAGAGGCATCACACTCTGTCTCAAAAACTTTAGTAAAATCAAGAAGGCGTATGACAAGAGCTTATGTCATTCGCTTCTTGATTAGCTTAAAAGTCTTAATCGCTTCCTATGTCCAGTGAAACTATCCTTTCTCAATGCATTCCGTAATAAGAGTCATGATTGTCCTAAACCCCTTGATGAAGTGATGGTAAAAGGTAGTTGGGCCATGAAAACTCCTGACATCATGTATAGTCTTAGCCTCAAGCCAATCGACAATTGCTTGAATCTTGGTAAGGGCTGCAATACCCCCGTAGAAAATACGTTGAATCCTAGGAAAACAACTCTATTGGTGAAGAGAGAACATTTCTTGACATTAGCATACAATGCCAATCAACTATCGCTTGAAGTTTGGCAGTATCGACAGATGCCCCCAGAGATGATACAATGAAACCTAAGAAGACGACACTATCTGTGAAGAGCGAACATTTCTTGACATTAGCATACAATTTTGTTGCACGAAAGGCAAAACAAACCTATTTGAGATGATCCCGGTGTTGTTCTTTAGTTTAACTATAGACGAGAATGTCATTAAAGTAGATGATG